AAAAAAATTAATTATATAATATTACAAATATGCCCAACTTATTTTATTAGAATTATTTCATATTCTTTTTACTATTTTATATAATCCACAATCATTAAATAAGAGTTTTCCATTTATAATTTGATAGTCAACTTTAGAAATATCTTATTTATAATTCTTTTTTAATTAGAATGAACATTAATAAAATGATTTATAATTATTTATAAATAATCATAATTAATTGATAAATTGTAATCATTAAATTTCAATATCAAATATCTAATATTTACTACTTAAATCATCCCATAGAATTAATGCTATTCCATTATTTTTCTCCATAAAATTCATCTTTTTTTAAATTATTGTTAGTTATAATTTAATATTTACCATATCAAAATCCTTATATCAAATATACAGTAACTTTAGGTCTAACTGCAATAAAGTTCTTTCTTTATTAAATACTATTGGGAATAAGAAACTATCAAAACAAGTATCATCTTATAGTAAATGAATTATTTTATCTTCTTGCAATTAAAATTCACCATTTTATAAATCATATACATAGATACAGTTTATTTTATATTGTTCTGCAAGTAACCAAATAAATTAAGTATGTTTGATAAAGCATAAATTATATCCAAGTTAATTTAATATAATTCTATAATTTTGCATTTTATTTCCAATAAATGTATTGATTTATCAACTCAACAAGCAGCCAAATATGTTTCTTCTTTATTTAAACTTAAACTATAAATTTTTTTAGCTGGAAAACTTTAATAAAGTTCTAATTTTTTATTTTGAAAATCAACATCCCAAATAATTATTGAATCATTTTCACAGGTATAAAGTTTAGTCTCATCTGAATTTAATATCATACAAGATGATGCATTGCGTATTTAATTTATATTTATCATTTTTAGTGCACCACAAATTGATTGAATTAATACTACCTGAAATAAAGTTATTACTATTCTTGCTAATAGTTAAGCTTAAATCTACATTTAATCTGAATCTAAAGTTATGATTACTTCTATTTTTCCATCATTATAATCCCAAACTATTATTTTATTGCCACATCCTGATGCCATTATATTTCCAAATTAATCGAATGCAATTACTCAAGACAATAATCTTCTTAACTAATTTAATCACTTTCAGAACCAAACTTCCATTCATTGGTTCTTCAAAAATTATTAACCAAGTGCTTATATTGATTACATTTATTCCTATATTTAGTTTGAAATTGCTTAAAGTTATTATTATAATTTTTCATGTAACAAATTAAAATTATAAGATATTCGATTACATTATTTGTTATTTATGATTATTTATAGTTTTTTTCTATTTATCTAAAAGATTTATCAATTCTACAATTCCCTTTATTATGTTATGCTTCATATTTTCAAATTAATCTGTTAATTGATTTAAGTATTTTACAACAATCCCAAGGCTCAGAGAATTTCCTAAGTTTTAGTTAAATTCATCCTTAATTATAAATATATATAACAATATATTATTAAATATATTTGGTTTACTAATCAATTAAATTAAATAAGATATTTACTTCTAGATCATATATATACGATTATACATTATTACTAAAGTTACTAATTAACTAAATAACCTATAATATTATATAAGAAATCATTTATTATATGTATTTTATATGAATGATAATATTCAAATAAATTATCTATTAAAATATATTTAAAATCTAGTCGGTGTAAATAATATGGAATCTTTTTTGAAACGATGTATATCAAAATTAAAGTAAACCAAATGAAAATAACTGATGCACTGTTTACTATAAACAGAGATGTTAAAATTATATTTTTTGATTTGAGTGGAATATTGTTAAAATTTTCGTTATTAGAGATAACTTAAAAAGGTCATAAAAATTGAAATATTTTTAAATGAAATTCATTTGTACAAATTCAGAGCAATAAAAACTCTTATAAATTAAAAGAAAATTAAGAATTAATATACTTTAGATATGACAATATTTGTATTGCATAGTTATATATGCAAATTAAAATAAATTGATTTTAAATACTTATATCCTTATATCTAGAAGATTATAAAAGATATCTAACCCTCCAAATAGAAGAGCAGTTCCACTCACTGTTCCAATAGAATACAGAATATATTGATTGCTTGAAGAAGCCATTTCAACCTATTCAACTGTAGTTACATCAACAAAAATAATATCAGCAATTTTGGTTGTTACTATCTATTATTATTA